GATTAATTTATTCTCAGTCATGTGGTGTGACTACATAGAGGATTGCTGGAAGAATCAGCCGTTGCCTAATTTTGCCTTGCCTTACTTATCACCGTCGCCATATTTATTTCTCAGGCAAGCCCGTCCCTCGCCGATCGTCCACACGTGCCCCGGCGACACCGCCGACGAGAGCGACCACGACGCCGACGACGTCGCGTCCGACGACCGCCAGAACGACGACACGACCTCGCACGACGACCCGACCGCCGACGCAAGGCACACGCAGGTACCAGCAGAGGGCGCTGCGAAGGCCACCCATCGTGGCGATCGTTTCGTCCGCCATTTTGAATTTGGCGACACTTGTAGATCGGCATGTCCGCTATAGGTCCCGATATTTTCGCTGGCTGGTGTATTTGCGTTGCTGTCCGTGCTGCAACGACGATAGTTGTTTTACTTTGCGCTACTTGTTGCCATTTCTGTTCATCTTCCTTCAAAGTGGCGATAGAAATCGAGAACAGAATTGCTAACAAATCCGTATTTTTACGTAACAGACCGTCGACGACAACGACGACGACAACGACGACGACGACGCCGCCGCCGCCGCCGCCGACGACGCAAAATTCGTACATCACCACCGAATTCACGGTGGACTGGGGCTACTCTGGCCGCGACAAACACCCGGATGTCGACCCGGAACTGCCCGCCGCCGAAGCGGAAGCTCAACCGGAAAACACCGAGCCGGAGGTTCCGCCTGCCGAACCGACCGCGGAAGTACCGGAACCGGAAACGCCAGCCGTCGAGCCGACAGCGGAAGAGGAACCGGAGCCGGAACCGCCGAAGGTCACCGTGGCGCCGCCGCCGCCGCCGTCAACCGGACCAGCCGACCACGCCGGACACGACCGTCATCCCACGAAGAAGCCCGTGCCCGCTAAGCCGCCGCAGCGGACGAGGAGCGGCGGTGAGAGACACCTGGCGGGCATCGTCATCGTCCTCCTGGCTGCCGTCGCCGCTGTCGCCGCGTAGATTTTTTTCATCGCCGCGTATTTCGACTTGCGATGTCCGACAACGGAGTGTGGCGATTTTCTTTTGTATAGAATCGTGATTGATATTGAGATGTGTGGTAAGCGGCAGTGAAGATCTAGCGATCATTACTCCGTATTGCCTCTCCCCCTTTTGCTCTCGCACTTTATCTATTTATTTGACGAATATCTATATACATATGGTGTGTACATTTTTAAAAATGGATCACGGTGAGCTATCGTTTTTATCGGATGGCATTATTATTAGTATATATTTAATCAGCAGTCAACACGTATAAGTATTTCGCATGGGTTGCGCAAATACTTGTCTCTGTGGGAGTGGCAGAGAGACCGCAATCAAACAGAACTCTGGGTGTAATAGGAAGCATGTTTCATTTACTTACTTATTCAGATAACCTTCTTTTGTTTAAGTGTGTGCTATAATATGAGTTCCCATTTCCGAATTAATGATAACGATTTTCGGAAACATTTTTGAAAATCAAATATGATACAGTGCAGGTAGTGTGGATGGGGCATGCTATTTCTAAGCAACATGCTCCGAATATTTAGGCAAATTATCTTGTATGCAAGTGTTCTATAATAAAAAATACTTTGTATGGAAATGATTTATTTGTTTGTCTATGGTTGCATGGAATCTCTCTCTCTCTCTCTCTCTCTCTCTCTCTCTCTCTCTCTCTCTCTCTCTCTCTCTCTCTCCCTCTCTCGTTGTGATTGTTTTGATATAAATATTTATTCCTCTACGCGGCAGCAACCTCCAATGCCACAGTGCCTGTGGTTAGGCGTTGCACCATATCAAAATCTTATTAACTGTGTTAACTATTGTATGCGTTTCTCTCTCGCTCTCGCGTGTACGTTCTTTTTATTTTTCTTGCTGTCTCTAGCACGATGAGTGTGTGCTCAATAAAGCTGTCAAGAAGTCACAGACATTCATTGAATACGTTAAACAAAATCAAGCCCAAACAATGATTAGGTTTAGGTAATAATTTATTCTGTAAATAGATTTATATATATATACATACATATATATATATACAAATATATATATACATATATATATATATACATATATATATACATAAATATATATATACATATATATATATACTATATATATATATATATATCATACACCAATACATATATATAGTTTATATGCGGGCAGACGCTAACGCATTATCCTTTAGTGCCGTAAAAATATGGCCGCGAGATCTCTCCATACGTAATGCTGCGTCTACTTCTATCGTTGCTTCGCATGTATGCTTCCTCTCTCTCGTCTCTCTCTCTCTCTCGTCTCTCTCTTCTCTCTCTTCTTTCTTTCTCTCTCCTCTCTCTCCTGTCCTCTCTTCTCTCTTCTCTCCTCTCTCTCTTCGCTGGAGTCTCTACTCTCTCTCTTGCCACCCTCGTCTACAGCTCTTATCTCAATACTCTCTCTCATCTACCTCTATCCTTATATCTCTCTCCTCTCTCTCTCTCTCTCTCTTCATCTGCCTCTCTCTCTATCTCTTTTCTCTTTCTCTCGCTCTCTACTCCTTCGATTATCTCTCGTCTCTCTCTCTCTTTCTCTCTTTCCCCTCTCTATTCTCTTGTTTCTCTTCTCTCTCTCTCTCTCTCTCTCTCTTTCTCTCGTCTCTTCTCTCTCTCTCGCTATCTCTTCTCTCTCTCTCGCGTATCTCTCTTTCTCTCTCGCTCTCTTCTCTCTCTCTCTCTTCTCTTTCTCTTCTCTCTTCTATCTCATCTCATCTTTATCTCCTCTATCTCTCTCTTGCTCATCGCTATTCTCTCTCTCTCTCTCTCTCTCCTCTCTCTCTATTCGTTCTCTTCTCTCTCTCTCTCTCTCTCTCTCTCTCTCTCTATCTCTGTCTCTCTCTCTCTCTCCTCTCTCGTACTCCTCTCTCTCGGCCTCCTTTCTCTCATCTCGGCGTGGGTCTATCTTCTATCTACTGATCTATTTTTCTATCAATCTATCCTCTATCGTTCTCGCTATCCTTACTCTTCTTCTCACACTTCCCCCTCTCTGTTCTCTCTGTGTCCTGTACGTCGCTCGTATATTGCAGTGCATCCATGCGGGCGTGGGTGTGGTGTTGTGCGTGTCTGGCTGGTGCTGCATGCTTGCGTGGCCCTTGTGTATGCGCGTTGCGGCATAATAGCGTATACACAAGACACGCGTTGCGTCAAAACCCGTCTGTGCTGCTGTGCACGTTTGTGTATGTTTTCTTACAGGTCTGTTTACGTCTGACTATGTATTGGAGAATGTACAAAGTTAGACTGTCGGATACATCTGAAGCTTTACTGGCTACACATACTCGACCCGCCGTTATGACACAGAAAGGCATTCTACACGCACTGTGTGTGACCCCTAGAAACAAATATATTTCTCTTATTCCATTTCTGCCGTGATCAAGTGCCTGTAAAGACATCATAGCAGACAGTTGTAAGACGACGTTCTAAAGTTCCGTTTCTCGTGGAACGAAACGATAAGTAACGGTGAGCATTACTGATCTGTAGACGTACACTTATGGTGGAGCCAATTGTTCTAGCGCCCCCGACCCTCCCCTCGGCGCGGGGCCCAACCGAGCATTACTACATTGTAGACCGACGTCAGCGCTTACACTTATGGCTGGACCCATTGTTTAGAATACGTTTCTTCGCTGATGTAATTGACTAAAATCTTGATCTAGCTATGAGGTCCGCGTATTCACGATATTTACACATTCCTGCTTACCAAACATTAATACAAGCGCGATTCAGCGTATTTTACAAAAAAAAAAAAATTCCTGATATACGCTCGCCGCCTTCTCGAAGACAGTTAATCGAGCAGCATCTTGCAACCTTGTCTGTTGCATATTCTCTCACATTGTAACACGGCCATCCAGTATCCTGTCACCTCCGAAAATAACACACTCATTATTACCTTATCAGTGATTATACAATCGCAGATATAGATCGCTAACGATTTGTGCCATACCGCTGTTCATTGCACCGATGCGTCATCCCGTCAACGTAAGCTCGCGGTTGTGACGCACGCTCTTGCTTGCGAGCAGACGCGACAGACACGGGCGGCTGCTCGGTCTCATCGACAGCGGTGTTGGCTGTGCGAGACGCACGACGAAGATCGTATTAAGTACCAGTCACAGTGAATAATCAATCAATAGATCGCCAGAAGCGAGAAGGGTGGAGGAGAGGGGATTCAATTCTTCATCTGACCTAAACATGATAACTAAAGAAACAATTTTCGAAGTCTTCGACCTCTATAGTTATAGCTGCAATCGGTTGCAATTGGCTACCTTCTGCCCTGCATGCGTTAACCCATTATTCATGTATACTTTCATGAACGTCCACACGCATTTACATACGTACATGATGCTGTGAACAGTATGATGCATTAGTACGGCGCGGTATGACGTATCCCGTAAGTATACTAAATATCACGAAGATTCAACAATTCCAAAAACACAGTATTCAATCTGAGTCGCCCACTGTCGTGGCGCCCGGCTGCGTCGTTAGTGAGCATTTGTCTCGATCAGTAGATCTATTACTATAAGCCTCCAGGAACGATTTCCTCCTTCATGAACTAAACGAATAAAACTGCGAACACGTTGGGCGGCCCATCTCTTATCGGCGGGAAACTACGACTAGGGTTGGCTCGCGTTAGAAAGCTTCTCCGTCAGAAGTGCAGAAACATGGGCAGCTGTCTCGTCTGTCCGGTTGACGATGGCGCCATGCGCCGGTCGGTGCCGTGCCCGTCCAGTATCGGTGGACCGCGAGCTAGACACGCATCTGTGGTTTCATCTGTGGTGGGAAAAAATTATCAGAAATATAATATGAATGACACTTTTGGTTAGATTTTAATGGATATATAACATATTACTTATATCTATTCGACTCCTTCTTTCTCTCCTCTCTCTTTCACCTCTTCTCTCTCTCTGCTCTCTCCCCGTCCTCTCTCCGCTCTCGATGCTGCAATTTGGCTCTTTCTCCTGC